AAACTAAGACCATCTATAAAAAGTTTCCACTCCAACTTTTGGGTATAATTAGTTCTCTTTTTCCTTTCATTTCGTGAAGCTTATTGAAACCATCTGTGATGCACTGAGAGTTTATTCTTGAGAAACAAAAGAATGTTTTAAAAAACCAAGACTCCTCTAGATCAGCACTTGTCATTTCATCCCAGCAGTTTAACATCTGTCATTCTGAGATTACAACTTCTTAAAGTTAGAAATACATAAGGATATACAGAGATATAAAGGGAATGCCAATTCTCCTCAGTAGTCTTTAAGGGATTTATAATTCACATAGATCATTTCTACCTGACTACCCTCTAGTATATTGACTTTTGATAGGTTATTGCTTGCTATATAAAGAAATGCTCTAAAAGATAAGCACACGTTAAGTTTCAAATCCCACTAACATTAAAATCCTTAGGTCTGGTAAAGAATCAATATTTAACTCACCTAATCTACTCTAGTCATAGATAAGCTTCCTGATGGCAAGGATCCTGCCTAATTATTGCATTTCCCACAATGGCTAACCATGGCAGGTCCCCAGTAAAGGTTAATCTGATGAATGCTGAATCACTATTTTGTAGAATTGAATCATATCTTCCCTGTTGATCTGTAATTTGGATCATATAGTCTGGACTATAATGAACTGTGTCAGTGTGGAGAAGGCACACAACTATCTAGGCATGCCCATCAAATAATGACAGCATAATGAAAGTTCTCTCTCAAATTCAATGAAAGCCAAAATGTAAGAGCAATGGTCTCAGTTAGCAGTGAGCTACAGTAATCATTACACAGAAAATGGTTAGAAGAATGATCTTGTGCAAGAATATTTCAATTTAAGAACAAAGATTACATTATGTAAGGGGAAAAATGACTTTTATGATTATTGCTGGAAGTAAACAAGGCCAGGAAATACCTGGAAAACTTTTGTAAAATGCCATTCAACAAACACTTGGCCTCTTCAATATAGTCAAGAAGGTATGTTTCTAATCTAGAAACATTTGCTGATTAAAAATAATGAGTTAGGCCAGGCATAGTGGTTCATGCCTATAATCCCAGCACTTTGGGAGGCTGAGGCAGGAGGATTGCTTGAGCCCTGGA